TACAGCACTTGCAATTCTGCTTTTCTTGGGGGTTGCCGGAGTGCTAAGATTTGCATTTATTTATTTGTTTTAATCAAAGTACACACTGCCCATTCCAAAATGAGCTGGGAAATTGTACTCCCAGGGCCAGGCTAATCACAGGATGTGCTGAAGGTACTAGGAAAGCCAGGGGAAAAATAACAACCAGCATTGTTATTCTTCATCTTTTTCCTTCACGTGGTTCCTCCCTTTCTTCTTGTATCTTCTTTTACAACAATGACAAAACAAAACAAAACAAAACATGACAGTTGGGCTAGAGAGGAGTTGCAAGTTATTTGGTCCCCTTCCCCAGTACAACTCTTGCCCCTTTGTATCGCCACAGCACTGCACAGTAGTAGAGGAAGCTGCAAGACCAAAATAGTTAAGGCCACAACTCTCTCTCAAGTAAAAGCAGCTTAGCACAGAATTTTCCACTGGTGACTGCTACATTAGCTGCAGGAGTTTAAAAAACGACGGAACAAAAGTTTAAAAGGACAATAGACTGACTCATTTCCCATTAAAGGCAAAGGAGGATGTGGGGTTCTTTCCCTCCTGGTTCTAGCAAACTGCAGTTAGAGACTCATTGTGTATATCGGTGCAAATTACCATTACATGGATTAAAGAAATGCACACTCACAACATGTATTTTTGCAGTCAAGGTGAAAATCAAGCAACACTAGCTTCTCCACATTCAAATGCTTGATGGTCAAGTGTTTTGTTTTTATCTTATCCCAAAAGTGTTGGTCATTCCTGAAGGTGTTGTACTTCATATATGCCTTTTGTGGATTTTATGTGATAATCGCTACCAACACATTAAATCTGTGGCTCTCACTTCTGGCTGTGACAGATGCACACAATTTAACATAGGAATGATAATTTCTCATCTGCTGATCAAGTTATTTTCAATAATATGCAAATTGGTATTGTTGAATAAAACAGCAATTGTTTGAGAGGCTTTGTTTGTCTAGCTTAATTTCTTTACAGCGACTCCCTTCATCAACTCTGTCACCTGACTCTTTAGATTACAGTTTGTCAATTGTTCCTCAATTACTTAGTGGATAAATGATTACTGCAGCTGGATAAATGATTTCTGCAGCTGTAACTGATATTACTAGATACGGTTTTCCGTACTTAGGAATTGTGGTTTTCCTAACTGAAGTAATGGTTATACCAATAAAACGTGTGTCAGGAAAAGATGGACTAAGTTATAGCAGACCTGGTTATAAATTCATCCGTGCAGGATTCACAAGTTTAAACCTACAAGAATCCCACACGGGTTGCCAGACTACTTTGGATCTTATTTCTTTGTTACCTTTTCTGATTTACAAAAGCTGAGAAACAGACCATGAATACTAGGAGCTGAGTAAGAGACCCTCTCGAGGACCTTTTCTTCTCTATGTTTATTTATTACATGCATATCCCACACCTTTTCTCCAAGAGGCTCAAAGCAACATACTCTGTCTCAGTAAAGGTAAAAGGTAAAGGGACCCCTGACCATTAGGTCCAGTCGTGGCTGACTCTGGGGTTACGGTGCTCATCTCGCTTTATTGGCCGAGGGAGCCGGCGTACAGCTTCCAGGTCATGTGGCCACTCTGTCTCATAGCCCTCATTTTAATACATAGGAACATGGGCTAAGCCTACTGGACCAGGCCAATGGCCCATCTAGTCCAGCATCCTTTTCTCGTAGTGGATGCCCGGATGCTTATGGGAAGCCTGCAACCAGGACATGAGCACTCTGCCCCAGTGATTCCCAGCAACTGGTATTCAGAGATATGATGTTTTCGATAGCGGAGGCAGAACATAGTCATCATGGCCAGCAGCCATTACAACAACCTCGTTATCTCTCAGCCCAATCTGGCATGCAGAACAGTCTCTAACATCTGAAAAAACAGCAACCTGGCATATGAGTTACCTCTTACTCTATAATTTTCAACTTTGCTTGAGAACTTCTGGTTTCCAGGCCAATTGACTTATGCAAAGCAATCTGGCGTTGTCACTGACATCCCGCCCCCCATTCTGTGGTCACAGCATCAACCAGATACTACCACCACACCTGCCCCCAACTTTTAAATATTTTAGTGGTGTATCCATAAATATTTGTGGTGGGAGCAAATAAAAAACTGTTACAGCACTTACACAGCATTTCTAAAAATGTCAAGAATGTTGGGGGGGGGACTGATTTTTAAATTAAAATCTGAACAAGTGAACCTATTTACACATTTTGTTCTGTACAATTCTGTACAAACCTAACATTTCATTCGCAGATCCTGCACAGTTTTAACAAAAGCCAGCTATGCTATCTCAAATGGGTTGCAAAGTAACTTTCACTATATGCCACACATTTGAGCAAGCCTTGGTAACTGAATTGATCAAGTGGGGAAAAGTCTTATTTGTGACATCACACCATTTCTCTGAACCCCAGCACAACGGTGGGAGGAAAGTGCCACTTTTCCTCCCCAGCTCCAGTACAGGAAGGGAGGGAGGGACGGAGGGCAGGGGCTCACTCCTGTTGTGATGAGTTTCAGAGACTCTTGTAAAGCAGTGGGATGCCTTGCCTTCTCAGCCTCAGTACCAGGTTTTTTAAAACACACACATTTGCCAGTGACAACACTCATGAGTGCCTTTGTCAACTGTTGCTAAACAGTAGCGGTCAGTCAATTTTCATTTTTAAAAAAAGGAGTTCATGATCAGATATACCTATATAATTTGCAATCTAGCACAACGACTGACACTACCTCAATTTCAAATTAGGTTTTTCTCTGCTTAATGCTTTTGGTGTTTTTTTTAATGCTTTCATTTTTTAAAAAAGTAATATTTACTGGTTTTCAATGATTCAACTAATATAACATAAATGCCATCCTTACACCATAGATAGTTGCTATTCCTGTTTCATTATTCAAGTAGAAGGCACATATCTAAACATGTGTGATGTGTGAAACAGGATCAATTACCTGGGTTAAAAACATTGCTCAGGGAATTGTCAAGCTACTAGATAGAACCCAATGAGAGATTTCTCCCATAAGAAAATACAACACAATCACATTTATATATCAAGGTCCTCTAATGCAATGTTTACCCCGAGCTTCAACTTGCAAGGAAAGACACTGCAAAAGGAAGGAAGGAGTTGCTTCCTAAAAATCAGGAAAGTGGGTGGGGTTTTCTCAGTAACAGGGCTCTCAGAAACATGACTTAAAAAAAAAATACTGTATCCCAGGACATATTGAATACCACTCCAGCACTTTGTTAGGAGATGCTGGGCAACTACCCCTTGAGGAGACTAAATTTATGAAATACATAAAATCCTTAAAATTAAGAAATGATACAGCCGGGGGTGGGGGCAGGGGAGCCTACTAAACAACGTCCAGTTCCCTAATCAGCATGCCTGACAAATGGGTTGCAAAGGGAGGGTAAGATCAACCTGGGAGAGAAAAACAAAACCATCATGTCTGTAGCACCCAGAGAGAATGGCTTCCAAAGATACCCACTGAGTTCATAGCAGAGACAAAATTCTGAATGGGAGGTCTTCTTGGTTCACAATTCAGTCTCTCATCCACTTCACTAGCTCAGTTTGTGGTCATCCAAAGGATGGCGAGAAGAAAGAAAGAAAGAAAGAAAGAAAGAAAGAAAGAAAGAAAGAAAGAAAGAAGAAAGAAGAAAGAAACTGTTTCGAAGGGAACTGGCTCTTCCTGCCCCATACCAACACCAACACCAACACCACTAGGCTAGACTAACTCAGTTTGCAATTATCCAAATGGTGGAATATAGAAAGCAGAAGGGACCAAGTACCTCACTGCTGCAGTGCCTCTGATTAGCCGATACTGCTTTAGAGTTAATTAATCTGGGATATTTCAGCAAGAAAGCTGGCCCATTTGGCTTCACACTGCTGCCTGGGGTCAGCTGCTATATAACTCTGACTATGTTCATAATGTTAGTTATTCCCAGGAAAGACACAAGCCCCTGATTACAATCAACTGGGCCTTAAACTTGCCCAATGAATGTGAATCAGATGTTGGAATCTTTGTGGCCTGATACAACCATCTCAAAAGCCCTCTTATAGAAAGCATTTCTGAAACCTATTGTAAGCCTCCATAATGAAATGGCAGTTAACAATTTGTACCTAAGCTAGGCTTAGGAAATATGGTGTTGCAAGTCTCAGTTATCCTACGCTGCAGGATGGAAGTGCCATGGGGGGGAAATGTGATTTAAGACACGTTAACAGACAAAACGGCGATGATTAATGTTGAAAAATACTTCCTCAGCCCTTGTATACAGTGCCTATCATCTCAATGGGTACCTGAGATATGATGTTATAAAGAGCTCCCCCTCCCCACCCCATAGCCATTCTCTAAAACTTAGGACTTTATAGGCAATTCATCTAATCCCCTAGCACATGTTCTCACCATCAATCCTGCAGTCAAGGATTACACACAAAGACACTTGTTGGAAAGGGCTGCCATTATACAATGTTTGCAGAAGCATTATATGGGAATAAGCAACTGGAATCCCAAAGACCAAATCTGAAGCTGCCCATCCCAGAGGCATGAAGAGTGTACAGAAGAAGAATCACTGCTAAGTGACGAAAGAGATCTAGCTACCCACTTCCCACCATAGGAGGCAAAACCCTACAGTGGGGAAAAGAAGAAGTTATCACAGACACAGGCTGATTAGCACCATTTCAAACCTGCTCTAGCCACATCAAAAGTATGCCTAAATATTGTGACAATAAATATGTCTGACACACAGGTTAGCCACAACTATACAAGGGGCAAACAAGAGTTATTAGAGCTTGGAATGATTCTTAAAAATTTGAATCAATCCTTATTTTCCAGTCAGGACCAAATATGAATCCTAAGGCCACAAAACAAATTCAATAATGGGAGCAACTAGCAAAAAATTCGCCAGAGACAGTGTCGAGTTAAAACAAAAGAACAAAAACAACCACTCGAAAACAATGTAAAGAATAACAGACCAGTGAAACTTACCTTAATTGGAGCACAACTAAACTTAATTTTCCGACTTGTTGGGATTTCATCTTCTTCTGGCAATCCAATAATTTCAGAACATTCCATGTCAGGTTCGTAATAGCAGTTGTCATCGCTGTCTTCTTGATCATCCTGTTCTGTTCCCGTCTCCCCCCAGTCAGAATTATATCTTGATCGTACCCTGTAGACATTGTAATCAGAGTGCATATACACATGAGAACTCTGAAAGTTATTCAAGTCTTCCTGTTCTTCCTTTCCATTTGTATCTTCACAGTGGGAGCCAACAGAACGCGAAGCTTCACTGACTGTGATGTCATCACTAGCTATTAAGTTTCCTGATATTTCTGCAGTCTCAGCTCCAGCAGAGATCTTTTTTTGCTGCAAAGGTGGTACTACAGGCTCTATTTTTGCCTTACTGCTCGTACAGTTCTCACCAAAACTTTGTTTATCAAGTCCATCTACTGACTCTTGTTTAGTCGCTTCACAGGCATCAACAGAATCGTAGCACACGTCCTTGTTTTGTATTCCACCTGTTTTTGACAAAGGCAAAGTGCTTTTGGGAGTTTCATTGTCTGATGGAGATCTACTACTGTTCTGCTCAGAGTTTTCAACAGGTGCTGAGCTGGCATTTTGTTTAGCTGATGGAGGCCAAGCATTGGCGTCTTTTATGGGGCTGAAATCGTCGAGGTTTGCAACACTGGAAGACAGATTTGTGTCCACAGAAGACAGGTTTAGTGGATAGTGGCCAGTTACAGAATATTCTTCATTGTTTCCCGTCTTTTCTAGAACATTTTGTTGTGAGTCAGTATTTTCAAACACTGCACTAAGTTGGCTCACTGTTGGAGAAACAGCCTCTGTCCTTGAACTAAGACTATCCAGCGAATCTGTACTTCCCCTGTTAGACTTAGAGCTGCACCAGTCATCTTGAAGATCACTGTTAGAAACGGATCTCTCTTTCTTTGGGGAGTAGCGATTTGAATGCCCTGTTTCATGAGTATTTCTTTCAAACAACTTCCGTGTTTCAGTAAACTTGGAGTAAGAAGGACCATCGTGCATAGCATCAAACCTACTAATCCTTTCTGAAACGGAAGATTCTAACTTCACAACTGATCCATCTCCCTTCTCCACAAGCTCTTTCGGCCTAATTCTTCTCGGGGGAGATAGGGGTCCACCTTTACTTCTGGTCTTTGCCATGCCTCCAGCACTCTCATTGGGCTCCATGCCCATTTGCATGAATAAATTTTTAATCCTGTTGACGTTAGATCCATATTTCCTCCCCCTGGTTTGCTGAGAAGCCTCTCCTTCTTCTTTAGTCTTTTGTTCTCCATCTGACTTAGGCTTGTCAAAGGTGCTTTTCAATGCTTGGAACTCAGTCCTATAAGCGTTCCTGTGAGGAGAGGCACTTCGGAGATTTGATCTTTCCCCTGAACACTCTGTCTTCATCATGTTTATTTTTGGGATGTTAAACCAACATACATAGTGGCCGCTGTACCCTCCAGTTGAGATTGTGGATGAGGGGCTTAAAGGACATTAGATTCTGCCAAGGCCATACTTATAGGCAGACGACAATCCTCCAGATATGGGTACCAGCAAAAAAAACAAATGGGAAACTGGATGTCTTTCAAAAGAATGTTGATGAAACCTGCAACACAAAGGAGGATTTTGATTCATATCAGTGGGTTGGTAGATCTCCATACCTATTCAATATTTACATCGGTTTTAGAATATGGCTGGCTATAAAAGGGAAAGGTTATGATATGAAGCCACCAGATGCAATTCCATCTCTCAAAGGAATCACATTTGAATTTGGAAGTTATATGGATGGGAGACTTGCCTGGGAAGCCCCACTGACACATACAATAAGCTCCTTAAATGAAGAGAAACATAAATTGAATAAATAAACTGTTTCATGCTTTAACAGCATCATGATGGAATGTTACAGTATCTTCAGAACTTCATTTAAGTGAGGGCTAATCAGGACTCCATCTTTTAGAACCCATTTTGGATTTCATTACTCAGACCTCTGGATCATTATATGGAGTAACAGCAGAAGACAACAGTAAGTGAAGTAAATTCCTATCATAAACAAATCATTATTCTGCTATCACATGACTGAGATTGGGGACATTACTTCTTTGTAGGACCAAGACCTAATCCCTCTTTCCCAACAGTCAATGTATGGACATGCATATACACGCTATTCAACTGTACAACAGTTCTGTATTATACCAATGTATTTTATCATTAAAGTTTCCTTCAAATGATGATAAAGAGTCAGGTACACATATCTCTACCACTGTGAAATGGTGTGATGCAGCCATGAGTGATACGTTCCTCTGAAACAGCAACACTTTGCTGCCTTCATTTTCAAAACACCACCAAATGAACAAATTAATAAACTCGCTCTGAGATTGTAGGGGTGGGGGGAAGAGAGAGAAATGAGGGACAGAGAAATCACATGCACAGAAATTTAGAACTTGCAGGAAGCAAATAATTTGGTATGGTAAAGACTTGCCTGTTCCCCTTGGGGTATATTCAGCATGACAAAGAACCATGAAAGGTGCAGTGAAAGGGGGAAGAGGAAACCTCAATGCCGGCTAAATCTGTCCATTTCCCAGTCTGGATCTCGGTAAAATCTGTACGGCAAGTGGCATTTTATATGAATCCCGAGCGTCCTGCCCTCCCGCAAGGAGGAATACGGAGGCTGGCAGAGTCCCTTGGCGTAGTTTAATAGAGGAGGAGGAGGAGGAAATGGGTTTTGCTTCCAGCCTGAGCAAGCAGCCCTAAAGAAATACAGAAGAGCAGCACATGACTAATAATAGAGCAAAATCTCTCATTAGCGCCCTTCTGTTTCCGCCTCCTCCGCCGCTACAACTTCACCGCAGCTGGAAGCCTCCCGAAGCAACCGACCCGGGCAACGCACACATGTGGACCTGGCTCGGCTCGCTCCGGCCCCGACCGGCCTCCGCCTCCGCCCCCGCATCCTCCCGCCTGCCCGAGTCAACGCGCTGCCGGGGCTGCGAGACAGATTACAAGACTCGCGCCCATATTGCGTCTGTTCTCCAGCCTTGACAACTAAGCGGTTATTTGCTCCTAAGCAACGTTGTGATGTGGCCGTTAATGCCCCCCCCAATCCCTTCCTTGGAAGAGAACCACATCCCTGCCTCCAAATCGCCCCCCCTCTCTCTCTGGTCCCCAAGCATGCAATTAATTGAGGGGGGGCGTGGAAGGGTCATTTGCAAATAATAGCGAAGGTGAGAGTCTATAATCAATCTCGAGGCGCAGAACCTTCCCCCAACCTCCACGCTTCGCTGTGTCGGCGTCGCTCGTGCAAGAAACCCACCCGGGGAGGGGTGGTATATTGCCAGCTAGAAAGTGTGGCGATGAATCCCCTTCTTCTTCCTTCCTTCCTTCGTTTCCTTTCTCTCTCCAGCCCAGCGCGACGTCCTTCACGCTCCCTATAGGAAAGTGGCGCAAAAGGCACAACTCTGTCCCCGCCGGGGAAGAAAAAGGGGAAAAAACCCGCTGCTAAACTGCCCAGGCAGGAAACGCGGGAGCCGGGAAGCACCTTGCAACAGGAGCGGCGGCTGTGTAAGAATGCAAGGAGCAAGACGGCGCTCACGAGCCTTGCAAGCGAACCAGCCAGCCTGCCCACTTTCGGTGCTCCCGAAACAAAAGCTGCTCCCGGCCGCAGGAGTCAAGCCACAGCGAGCCCCACACAGGCAGGTTTTGTTTTGCAAAAAGGGGGGGGGGCTCACCGCGGCACCTTACCCGGGAGAGTCGGAGTTGCAAAAGCCCCGCCGCCTCTCGATTCCCCTCCGCTTCTCCGGCTACTACTGCCGCCGTGCTGTCCACCGGCCCGCCACCTCCCGGCACTGCTGCTGCCGCCGCCGCCGCCCGCAGCCTGCCCGGCAGCAGCAAGCTCCTCCGACTCGGCTCTTGCACGCCATTGCAGGCGGCGGTGGCGCCGGAGACGCTGCGCGGGGTGGGCGGGGGGAGGAAGGTTCCCGCGCTCGGCTCCACCACCAGCCGGGCTTCCCGCCGCCCGCTCGGCCTCCAGGGGACGCCCAGGCAGGCAGGCAGGCGGGTCCCGGGCGGCCCTAGGGAGGGAGAACGCCGGCCAGCTCGGGCGGCCCTCGGCCTCTCCGGGCCAAGAGCGCCTGACAGATGCCTCACCTCCTCGGCGCGCTGCAATGGTTTGCCCCGCTGGAAGAGGGAGGCTGGGGAGGTGGGTGGGAAGAAGGCGCCAAAGCCACGCAGCAGCAGCAGCTCGGCGGCGGCAACGCGCCCGGCCGGAGCGGGAAAGGACGACAAGAGGCGACCCGCGCCGCCGCTTGGCCTCTCAGGCGCTCCCCTCTGGCCCGCGTGCAGCTCGCCAGGCGTCCTAGGCTGCTTGAGGCTCCCGCTTTCTTTCGCAGCGCTTCCCAAGAGGGAAGCGGATTGAGTCCCCTGGCGAGAGACTCTTACACGCCTCTGACTCCGCCTGTGCCTCAGGGGTGAAATTCTCCACTGCCCTGGGTTGCGCGTGGGTCTTTCAAGACACCCCACGTTCACGCAACCGTCGGGGGTACTTCGGTTTTCGAACAGAAGCTGCGTTTGGAACTGGCGCTGGAGGAGCGGGAACACAGATTTGCCCCTCGAAGCTTGGGACCGAGCTCAGCTGACCTGCCTGGCCGCGTGGAAATAAACGGAGTAATGGCCACGCGCCCTCACCGTTACTGGTTGCACGTCTGAAGCCGCCACACTTGAAGGGCGGGGAACCTACGGGCTACCAGATGCTGACCATTGGCAGCGCTGCTCGGGCTGATGGGAGTTGGAGTTCCAGCAATATCTGGAGTGCTGTGGGTTCCTCGCCCCAAACAACAAAAGAAACCTACTGGGTCATGCAGTAAGCGTAGTGGTCAAAAACACAGTTCCCAGCTAAATGCAATATTCCTCATAAGAAGCTGCCTTTAAACCGAGTTGGCTCATCTAGCTCAGTATTTATTGTCTGCACTGGCTGGCGGTGGTAAAACACTGGTCCACCTAGTTCAATATTGTCTACACTGACTGGCAGAGGCTCTCCAGGGTTCAGACATCTCCAGCCATTTCTGGAGATGCTGTCCTACCTTGCTCTTAGCACACAACTACTAGCATTCAATGATACACTGTCCCTGAAACTACATTTCAGACACACAGAACTCTAGAATATTTGCAAATGAATCTACAAACGCACCATTTCCTTGAGAATTTTTGCAGTTTATATTTAAAGAAGTTTGATCCACAACTAACAAAGTTCTGTTCTTCAGTAGGGCTGTCTTTAATAAAATATACATGACCATAGAATATAGAATATACATGACCATAGAATATACATGACCATAGAATATACATGACCATAGAATATGCACTATAAGGTGTAAACAGCACCAAAGAAAACAGCCAAGGTGCAAGGGGGAGCAGCATTTACCGTACACCTCACTTTTCCATCAGGCACTACACACAAAATGGCCACGCCAAGGGAGTAAAACAAGAGGAGGAACAAAATGGTGAATCCAAGGAAGAGCATCTACAGGACAGGGACCCAAGCTAACTTGTCACCTTTTTTGTAACTTCACAGTAAATTACAGCCAATTGGAAAGACTGGCATTTGGGGGGTTGAATGGGTATCTGACAATGACCAAAGGGAAACAGTGGCTTTGGGGACTTGGATAACTACCTGGGCTCATCCAAAGAGCAAACCAGATGTCTTGTATGAATGTCTAGCCATGCCCTTGAAATACAACAGAAAAATCACTGGGGGCCTTGTTCTGTAATTTCAATTACAAATACACATTAGAATCATAGAATCATAGAATCATAGAGTTGGAAGAGACCACAAGGGCCATCGAGTCCAACCCCCTGCCAAGCAGGAAACACCATCAGAGCACTCCTGACATATGGTTGTCAAGCCTCTGCTTAAAGACCTCCAAAGAAGGAGACTCCACCACACTCCTTGGCAGCAAATTCCACTGTCGAACAGCTCTTACTGTCAGGAAGCTCTTCCTAATGCTTAGGTGGAATCTTCTTTCTTGTTACAACCTACAGCATATGTATCCATCAAAATACAAATTCTAATATGATATACAGGGACGCGGGTGGCGCTGTGGGTAAAACCTCAGTGCCTAGGACTTGCCGATCGCATGGTCGGCGGTTCGAATCCCCTCGGCAGGGTGCGCTCCCGTTGCTCGGTCCCAGCGCCTGCCAACCTAGCAGTTCGAAAGCACCCCCGGGTGCAAGTAGATAAATAGGGACCGCTTACCAGCGGGAAGGTAAACGGCGTTCCGTGTGCTGCTCTGGTGCTGGTTCGCCGGAGCAGCTTCATCACGCTGGCCATGTGACCCGGAAGTGTCTGCGGACAGCGCTGGCTCCCAGCCTCTAGAGTGAGATGAGCGCACAACCCTAGAGTCTGTCAAGACTGGCCCACACGGGCAGGGGTACCTTTACCTTTAATATGATATACAAAAGGAATGCTGGGGACTATTAGGAAAGGGACAGAAAATAGCAATACTTATATTACAATGTGCTTATATAAATACACAAATTTGTAAGTGCCGTGTACATTTCTTCTTATCCCATCCCAAAAACAGCTTTGGGAAAGGTGCAGAAAAAAAGCTTCAGAAATGAATAGCCAGTTCAGGTTGGGACACTGTTCCAAACCAAGAATGGCTGAAACATTTGGAACATTTTAGTTTACAAAAGAAAAAGGAAAAAAAAGAGCTCTGGGAACAGGATAGAGGGATATATAGTAAGAGGTTTATAAAACGATGCATAGTACTCAAAATTGGCTAGCAGATTCAGGTAAGACAAAATGTTTAAAAGAAATTTGCAAGATGTACAATCTGCTGCTAAACGTTGAGGTGCTGAAGACCAGTAGCTTAGATGGCATTGAAGGGAGACTAGACTAATTCACAAAGGATATGCCCATCAGTAGCTACGATGGCTACATGGAACCTCCAGGAATAGATGTTAAATGCTCTAAACAGCCTTTGCCACCTGGTGCCCCCCAAATGATTTGGACTGCAGCTCCCATCAGCCCCAGCCTGTATGAGGAACAACAGCAGGAAAAGTCACTAACTTGCCTTCAAGCCCTGTTCATTAGTTTCCCATGGGGCATATGGTTGGCCTGTGTGGGGAGCAGGTTCTTGGACTAGATGAGTCCTTGGTCTAATCCAGCACGGCTGCTCTTATTAAACAACCATTTTTGGTTATATAATCACAGAACTGCAGATTTGGAAGGGCCCACAAAGCTCATCTAGTCCAGCCCCCTGCAATGCAGGAATCTTTGGCCCGATGTGGGGCTTGAACCCACACCCTGAGATTATCCCAGGAGCTCTCGCCATCCTCATCTCAAGGTGAAGTACATAATATAATAAAAACAGCTAAAGGAACCTAGTTTAAAGTGGTGCAGAAAATAGCAAGTAAAAGCAATTGGACATTTTTTAAAGGAGACACCCACAACAGTGACCTATTCATTCAGCTGGGAAAGCTTGTCGCAGCACAATTGTCTTCGATTGTTTCCATAAAGTTCAGATAGTGGGCGCCTGTTGTATTTTGACAGCAACGCTGTTCCACAGAACAGGGACAGCCACACTAAAAGCCCTGATCTGAGTTACCTGATCACAGTAACTGTCTTGTGGTCTTGAGGACCTTTAGCAGAAACTCTCCCACACATCACAATGACCTACAGGGACAGCCGGGTCACCTGGTCTTGAGCTTGCTGAGGCCGGCTCTCCCCTTAGCGTTCTGCGTGGAGTGTGAAAAGCTACTCTTTGTGCAGTTTCAGTATCATTTTTGTGCATGGCTAAACAAAACATTCCAGTGGGTTGATTTCAATTTATTCTCCCTCCAATCTCATTGTTCATTCATTATTACTAACAGTCGACATTGCTCCAAGTGTTCCTGCTAAGTTTAATGTATTCATAGCGGAATCCGCACAGCCTTGCTTTTCCAGAAGAGCATGGAGAGAGAGCATGCAACCTCTTCTGCAGGGAGATGTTCCCTGAGAAAGGTCTTTCATCTGAATTCTTTTAATCTGACTTGTATTTCTGGATCCGGGGCCCATTGCAAGGCCAATGCATTACGAATTCTATCTTGTTCATTTTTTTATTTCCAGATTTATCTACAGTGGTACCTCGGGTTGCAGACGCTTCAGGTTACCCAGAAATAGTACCTCAGGTTAAGAACTTTGCTTCAAGATAAGAACAGAAATTGTGCTCTGGCGGCGCGGCGGCAGCAGGAGGCCCCATTAGCTAAAGTGGTATACCTCAGGTTAAGAACAGTTTCAGGTTAAGAATCGACCTCTAGAATGAATTAAGTTCTTAACCCAAGGTATCACTGTACAAGTCCTTTTGTTTCATTTTTGATGTAATCACACACACATGGCATTAAGACTCACAGAAATTTATATGTGGAAGAGATCCACAGACGCAATCTAGCCCAATACCCTACTCAGTGCAGGAGTCTTGCAACTAAAGTGACCCCTGAAAGGGCACCCAGCCTCTGCTTAAAAACCTCCTGTGAATAAGAGACCATGACTTCCCAAGGCAGCTGAACTGCTCTTGCCATTAATAAGTTTCTTTTATCCTTAGCCAAAACCTGATTCCCTGCACTTTCTGCCCGTTGGTTATAATTCTGCTCTCTGAAGTAACAGAGAGCAAGGCCAAATTTACACCATGCATTCAAAGCATTGTGATACCATTTTAAACTTCCCACAAAGAATTATGGGAGCTGTAGTTTATTAAGTGGTTTGGCAGAGGTTAAGAGACCCCTGTTCCCCTTACAGAGCTACAATTCCCAGAGTTTCCTGTTAAAGCATTCTGGAAACCAAAGCTCTGGAAGGGCAACAGGGTTCTTCTAACAACTCTCAGCACCCTTAACAAACTACAGCTCCCAGAATTCTTTGGGGGAAGCCACAGCTGTTTAAAGTAGCACCACAGAGATAAACATGCATGGTGTAAATAATAATAATAATAATAATAATAATAATAATAATAATAATAATATTTTATCTATATCCCACCCTCCCCAGCCAAAGCCGGGCTCAGAGCGGCTAACAACAGTAAAAGTAGCACAGTTTACATAAAATCACAGTCAATTAATTGAAATACATTCTAAAATCAGTTCAGAATCAAATTAATGGCAACCATT